CATTGACGATTACAGCTGGATGTCCTAATAACAAAGCAAAGAGAAGGTGCAAATAGAACTTATATACTGTCGACTATGTATGTATTAAGTGAGAGTATAATTATTTTTTGTTTATTTATACCAAGATCAGTAAAACAAGTATCTCTTCTAGTAATTAAACTTCAAATAGTATTAGAAATTTTCCTGAACAAAAGAGAGCAGCTGATACCTACTCTTCAGAAAGTAATGGGAAGTAAAACAGCAGTTGAAAACAACATCTTAGGAAAAAATGAGTGAAGAGTCTATATCGCATTTTTATCAAATAGAAAGAATTGCAATATTTTTTAGTATTGAAAATTAAGTATAGCGTTGAAAGTTTTTCAAAAACTTATTTTTATTTTTCAGGTCAACTTCCTTGACAGTAGAATGACATAACTATAAAAGATCTTGTTTTTGTTCAAGACATTACTAGTTTCAGTATGAATTTAATAAATCAGCTTCGTCTTTGTCTCCAATCGACTTTTGTTCGTAATTCTGTGGATGGAGGAGGTGGGATTTATGATCTGATCTGGGATTTTATGGCGGATCTGGGATTTTATGTAGGTGTAGCTAAAATTTGAAAAATAACGTCAAAGAAGATTAGTCTGCGTTAAAAAGACGACAGATAATTACATCATCTAGACGCTGACAGACAGTTTTATTGTTATCTGAGCGTAAAAAATAGTTATAAATAAAATAACCAAAAATAACCGGTTTTTTTTATAACAGAATGAACAAAAAAATAAATAAAAAAATTCACAAAATAAACAACATTTTAAATTCAAAATTCATTATCATGTGCATAATTAAAATTTAATCCAAAACATCAAAGTTAATCATATATTTATGTTAAAGACTTTATTTTAAAAAAAATTTTAACTAAAAATAATTAATTTTTTTTTTTTTTTTTGTATGTATTTAGGTGCTCCCAGAAGTCCTTACGGTTTTATCATAGAGCACCGCGGGAGAGCATTTAACAGGAAGTTCTAAATTATTTGCGTTTTTATTTGCGGAGGATAAGGGACCCTACCCCTAACTACTACCCCCCCCCCATTTCCCCTCATTGCAGCAACCACTGTTATAATAAAAATAGAAGTAATAAATATATTTGTAAAGCAAGAATACATAATATTATACAATAAATTTTATAATTAGTTATCAGAAAACTCGTCGTTTATATCCTCTAAACACTCATCTATTGAATCTTCAGATGACTCATCATTTGATTCATCGAACAAGTTACAATTTGCAATTCTTGGAGCCGGAACAATCAAATTCAAAAGCTCTACTGGCAATTTTTTGCTTTTTATTGCAGGCAGCTCTCTAAGTGAATTGATAACAGAGTCAGATGTTATTAAGAGCATATTCAACAAATCCATATTTGTAGAAATGCGTGAATTTTTCCTGGTATGATGTTCTCGAAATCTCCTACAATCTTTATTTCGTGCTTCTTGAGATTCTTCTGAAAGTTGTCCAATCGGAAGAATACACGATCTAATAACTTCCGTGCTATGCATTAAAATTTTGTGGACTGTAACCGGCATGTAATACCACGAATATAAATGTAAATATAAAGTCCTTGTTTCGAAACAAAGTTTTTCAAATTTGACACAATTAATGTCATGACCAGAAGATAGCGTTCTTAATAAAACACTAAATTTTTTAATTAATTCGACGTTTAATCCTGTAATCTCTCCGCTTTTTTCTGGATTTAAAAAAAACCTGCGAGCTGTGTTGCCATCATTTGTATTCCCATAATGTGGTTTCGGTCTATCCACAATTAGTCCCATTTGTTTTTTAAACTTTTGTCTAATCTCTTCCGAACGTTCTCTCATACCACATTTATCCCCATTGCTTCTAACTTGCCACTTTTTAATGTCTAAACGGTAACTAATGTGTAGCAAGCATTCAAATGTACGTATCCATGCATGCAAAGTAGACAAACCAAAATTGTAATTTTCTTTTTTATCAACCATACCTTTTAATTCGCCATTCATCATTTTTGGAGTAGCACCACAAATATAACATTTTTGTGTAGAGCGCGTATCGGTTAAAGCATTACAAACTTTTCCGTCTGTCATTGTAAGTAACAGATTGTGTTTCACAGTGAATTTAAATTCGCCAATAGTACACAGTGTTGGAAGAAGTTCAGATATTTCTTTCAAAACTTTGTCTGTTTCTATTACAGTAAATTCCTGTGTTTCTTTTGAAAATATAAATTTAATTGGTCGGCAATAAAGTGTTGACGATGGCCGAGGATTTTGCCAAATAATAGTATTAGAGTCATCACTCAATCTCAACGGGACAAACGCAAACACAAAAAGAAATTCATCATTATCATCGGAGTTCTCAAATCTTTGTTTATAGGTACTGTGGCCAGAACTTCCGTCACATCCCCATTTGCTTATTAATGTAAGCGACAAATTAGAGGATGCATTTTCGGAAAATCGACTTATTGTTTCAATTAAGCGTTCAGTTGTTTTATTCAATATGGCTTGAAGTTTAATTTCAGCTCGTGTTTCTGAGATAGAAATAAATTCTTCAGGAGGGTAACACAACCTTTTGGATTTACATAAATTATAGTGAGACGGAAATACTTCATGCCCTGCTTTTAACGACCACTTTCTTGTTTGTTTATAAGAGTGACTAGTACACTTTGAGTCTACATAATAAGCAAGTGCCTCATCGTTACTTAACTGCCTGGTACCACAAATAACATCAGTAGATTTTCTTTGCTCTAAGGTATTTGTACTTTTTCTAATAGAAGTAGCTACGCTTCTTTGACCCGACAAACGATGTGCTATTTCAGCAGCCGTTGTTAATTCATTGGCACTCCGCGATTGCAATAAGTCTTCAACTCTACGTCTTTTACTTTTTAAAGATAAAAGACGTAGAGTCTTCAAAACTTTTCTTTGGCCGACCTTGAGGCCGATTTCCTTCAGATGTTATGGAAGCACAGGACCGATGCAAACTTATTTTAAATTCTAAATTATTGATCTCTAACCAACTTTTATTTTTCTTTAAAAATATATCAATATTTCTATTGGCTGCATTCCACTTTTGCGCAAATTTAGCGGATATGCTTGCAACTTTTAACTGTATTTTTTTTTTCGAATCACTTGTAACATCTTCTGTAATATAGTCTTTCAATATAAAATCAAACAAAAGAGAATTTCTTTCTTCCGTTGTATGTTTTTTCCATACTTCAAATAACTCCAGTTTTCTAATAGAATACACTCGGTCTGAAAAAAGTTAAATAAAAATGAAATGGCAAATAAGGGCAGCCAAATCTTTTATATTTAGACAACTTATTGTTGTGGTTATAATATATAAAAAAATCAGCTTGGATATACTTGGATAAAATTAGTTACACGCTTTAAAAATTAAAAAACGAAAAAGAAATTGTAATTTTTATATTGTTTTTTTAAATCTATAGAATTATCATTTTTTCCAATTATTTTAAATAAGTTTTCGATAAAATACAAAGTTCATACTTTCTAAAGTAAAATTCATGACAGCAGAGTTAATTATTATTCACAATAAATTAGTTATATGTTATTGTTACACAGCAAAATTGCAGCTATTTTCTTTAAAAAAAATATGTTTATCTTTAAGTAACACTTGAGCGCTAATAATTTAACACTTAAAATCGCGAGCACTAATTAATATTTTGAATTTTTCCCTTGGGAGTATTCAGTAATATCATGGGAATATCTATTAATTGATTCCTTGAATTGACTTTTGTCCAGCTAGATTGTATGAGTCGATTCACTGTGTATCGACGCAATTATTTCACAATAGTCTATGTCATTTTTAGGGGGTTTTGAGTTAATCGTTGAAATCTATAGTTTAGATTCTATTAATCTCCTATATCTTAAACCAATCAGAAAATAGTTTTTCTCATTTGTTTTTTAGTGACGTAAAAGAAAAATAGCGATTTTTTTTCTTTTTATTTCTTAAAACTTGAAAAAATGATTAGACGATTGAAGAGTTCTAGGAAATAATCCCCCACCTCAAAGTAAAAAAAAAGGTAAAACATGTTGATTGCATGTTTTACCTATTTGTCAGATGATTTATGTACACTCCTCGCATGTTCTACTTAATTGTAAGACGATGCATGAAAAATGAAGGATGAAGGCTCGTAACATAATTTTTGTTACATAATATACTTGTAACATAAAATGTATGTATAGAAGATTTATATTATAAATAACTAATTTATTCAATTTTTATGAGCTATAAAAAAAAAAATAAAAAATAAATTCATAATAATTTTTGGGGGGATTTTTTCTCGGGGATTATTTTTTTGGGGCGATGAGAATTTTTTGAGGGGTATTCTTACCTGCCAACATTGTGAAATGATCTCATATACATAATATTTTACTCGTGAAATTTAAAAAGAAATTTAAAAAGTTCTCTTGTTAAAAAGAAATCAGGTTTTAGGAGAAATAGAAATTGAGAAATAAACAAACTGTGGCTGAACTTGATGCTTTAAACCCCTCCCCACACCTTATTTGTACGCATTCGTACGGTTTTGGGTAACCCCCATACCTAAGTGCGTACTTTTATAACGCCTTTTTAAATTTATTTTTAAACATCAAACAATATGTTTAAGATTTCAACATAATGAAACTAGGGGTAAAAGGAATATCGGGGTAGGTTCAATATAATGTAACTAGCAGGTAATATAGAGGTACAATGGGGTAAATAAGGGGAACATAGGGGTAAAAGACCCAGAAATTTAGGTAAAACTATTGAGAAAATTTAGATATCTTTTCAACATAAAATTATTTTAATTTTTTTAACAAATGCAATATGATTTTTTAAAAGATGATCCGGAGTTAAAACTTAAAAGCCAGAATGAAAAAAAAAAAATTAGGAACGTGTAGAACTTTAGAGGAAATAGATTGGAAGATGGAGTCAACAAGTTACATTTTATGTTTCTGGCACCCTATTTACAGATTAAAACAAAAACAAAAATCTATTTTAAAATTATTTTATTATTCATTTCTAAAAAATATAATATTTTTTTACTATAAATTTTATTTTTATATTCAATTTTGTGTTTGCAAATTGCTTTAAAAATATTCAAACAATTATGAAACAGATACTTGAACAACTAAATAAAATTTGGTTTACAAATATAAAAATATTATAGCTAATTTTTTTCTATTCAGAAATTATTAGAAAATATATATATAACGTAGCATTATATATTATAATTATTTCAAAAAATTAAATAACAAAGTCAAAAAAAATGTAAAAAATTGTTTAACTGCACTGTTTGTCTGCCCAATTTTCAGGTTTTAATAAAACCACAACATTTCCGATTCGAGACCATAATGGTAAAGCTTTATTTTTATCATGGCCCCAGATCTCATTAACAAAATATTTCATGACTTTCTCCTCTTCTTTTATTCTGTTATAATTTGCATTGTTTTCAGGAAAAGAAAATGGCATCTCAGCTGTCATAATAATAGTAGATTTTGGAAAACTTATTTGAGAACTAATAATGTGTTCATCAGCATAGTTCATGAATATGCTTGCTGTTTCTAAAGTCATCTGTTCAATATTTGTCACAACAACATACTTCTGAAGAGAATTTAAACTTTCCTGAATCTGTTTATCTAAACTTTCTTTACTGGTTCCTTCAGAAGTTAAAGTATTATAATTTTTATCTGTAAAAGCCAATCCCAAATCTTTTAAAAAGCATTTCATTGTCAAATTTGTTCCATCATAACCAGCTATTAGCATTGTAAATGGCTGTTGTTCATTTGAATCATTTTTAAACACTCTTTTTAAGTGTCTATATCCAAGCTTTTTAATCTTTAACCAAAATATGTCATCTTGATTTGAAAACCTTACATTCATTTTATCTATCTTAAGTTGAAACGTTTCAGGAGTTACATAATAATGATCTTGAGGAATCACTGTTGGTTTATAGAAAAAAATGGCTATTAATACTACGCAAATACTAAAAAGTGAAAAGATCACGTAATTTGTAGTTCTCTAAAATAAAAATAAAAGTTACGAAAAATAAAAAAAACTTTTTTATCACAACAATTCTGAAATTATTTTTTTAATAAATAATGAAAAAAATAAAGTAAAATAAATGTAAAATATAAGAAAGTGTAACCAAAAATATATAAAAAGGATACACAAATACTAAAAGTTACCCGGTAAAATGTATTTCTGAATTTATTTAAAAAAAAAATACTAATGCAAAGAAATTGCAAAACAGTAAAATAAAAAAGTGAATATAACAGATTATATAACAAACTGAAAAAAAAAATTAGTTACTTCGGAATTTGATGGATCATTTTTGCAATCATTAGTAGTCTTCTCAATACTGTTATCTGAAGACAAAAAAACTATTGAGGAGCCTAGGAACTAGGAACCTTAAAAACTCTACAATGTCTTAAGGGTTAAATATTGCCTACATTATTTAAAACTATATTTTGCATATTGTTTTAATGTTTTCTTGACAACTAAAATTTATGCACCAATTCTGTCAAGAACAACAAAAAAATAATTTATTAATACAAACTTTTTAAAATTTTTTAAAATTTAAAATTTTTTTATTTTGTTAAAAAATATACTCTAAATGCATATTAAGTAATTTTTTTTTAATATAAGGATAAATAAATACATTTATAACTATTAAAGATAAATACAAACATTTTCTCTCAAAGCACCCAATGCGTTGAACTAATTTGAGAACAGTTTTTCACGTTTAAACTATTTCAAAATAAAAAAAAAAAATACAAGTTTTTTTGAAAAAGTTGTGTTCTCAATTGTTAAAGATAATTTCCATATACCTAAGTATAAATGTTCAGTATACCTCCTGTCAAATCGGACAAAGAAAAAATATTTTTCACAAGTGACATTGTAATATATAAACAAATATTACCTTTAAGAAGCTGTAATAAAGTATGCTAATCACAAAAAGAAACAGGGACTTTATGTCTCTAGGCTTTAAGTTCTCAATTGACCTACCAAGGGTTACACATTTGCTACACAACTTTAATAAAGGCAAAAATGTCTTTATCAAATGCATAACTCTTTTTTGTATATTTTTTAATGTTTTGATAACTAACATTTATGCACCATAACTTGATAACTAACATTTATGTTCAATAACTTGACAACTAACATTTATGTTCCATAACTTCGTAACTAACATTTAAGCACCATAACTTCATCACTAACATTTATGCACCATAAATTGATAACTATTATTTATGTACCATAACTTGATAACTAACATTTATGTACCATAACTTGATAACTAATATTTATTCACCATAACTTGATAACTAACACTTATGTTCAATAACTTGATAACTAACATTTATGTTCCATAACTTCATAACTAACATTTATGCTCCATAACTTGATAACTATTATTTATGTATCATAACATAATAACTAACATTTATATACCATAACTTGATAACTAACATTTATGCACCATAACTTAATAACTAACATTTATTCACCATAACTTGATAACTAATACTTATGTACCATAACTTGATAACTAACATTTGTTGCATAACCTTTTCAAAATTAAAAAAAAAATTAATTCTTATAGAAAAGCTGTTCTCACACTTTTTAATTATACTCTGATGATGCTAATTTTCAATGAATGAGTCTGAAAGATTTTAATGTTCAATAAAACCTCTGCCTAATAAAATTTCTATAGCAATTATTACATTATTATTCAAAATAGAAAACCTTGGAATAAAAATCTCAAATGTCCACTTTTATGCAAATTGGGTTTATGTTATTTTTTGGTTGCCTATATATGAGTCCATGCAATGACTCTTATAAGTTTTTGCAGTGTTTATAATGGAAAGTTCAGGAATACAAGTTTCTGAAAATTCCATGAAGTGGAAAATTACAAAAAAATAAAATGTATAAAATAAAAATACTTTGCAGTAGAATCATTAATGCAGATTTTACATAATTAATTCAACTTAACATTTAAATATGTTACTTTCTTTGCATTTTTAATCAAAACATATTTATTGATGTTTGGACAATGGATTTTTTTTATATAGTCAACTTAGGTATTAAAACTTAAATTGTAAAACATGTGTTATCAATTCTAATATATGTCTAAATAAACAAAAAATGTAAAATTTTATTTTTCTTATAAAATTATTTTTGTTTAGCCAATATTTAAAAAATAAAAATAATAACTTGAATTATTCTAGGCTTATACTAAACTTAACTAGTTGATGCTTATTTATAAGTTTTTGCAGAGTTTTATTTGTTTTTGCAGGGTTTTACAGGGTTTTAAAAGTTTTTGCAGGGTTTATAACAGAAAGTTTTTGCAGAGTTTATTTATAAGTTTTTGTAAAATTTAATTAAGAATACAAGTGTCTTAAAAATCTAGAAATATAAACCACAACAAAACTTAATTAAAATTATAAAAGTAAAGGGAGCTGGTCATGTTAATCGTGTATGAAAGTCCCTGAAAATCTCCCTGCTAAAACTGTTGGCAAAGATTGCAGGTATAAAATAAAGCATTAAATTATAATATTTTTAGCTAAAAAGATATTTATCATCATTAAATTATTACTAAATATTACTATTACTTGTTTTATAACGCATCATTTCTATGACAAGCTATGTATTTGACTTACATTTATGTGCTCAATAAGGTCACATAAGAATAATGCATATTTAATACACATCCACATTGGAATGATGCATGTTTCATAATAATTTATTGTTGATGAATATCATCATCATCAACAATAAATTATTAATTATCATGCACCATTCCTATGTGTCTTATATGCCCAATTAGCATGCCACTATTTGGATGCTAATTGGGCAATTTTGGATGGAATTATTTTGTAGATAAATAACTTTTATTGAACAAGTTTTACTTGAGACATTTAAAATAAAAATTAAACAATAATCTTTTTAATTATGTTAATTTATGCCTAATTTATCAAGGTGCAAAAAATTACACTGTTTTGAAACAGTGAATGCAGATTTCAGAACGTTAATATGTGATATGTTTTAAAATAAGGAAACTAAAAATCAACAAGATGTTTTCAGTATCTTACAAGTATAGGGTCAGTATAATTATTTCTGATGTGTCTCATAAAATGCATACAAATCTTCATTATTCTTAAAAAAAATATTCTTATTTGTTTCAGATAAAATCTTCAGATGATGGTCTTAGCTATGAGATTTTTATGAAAGCATTTTTATCAATTCATGGTATTTCTCATCCTCAACTGAGATGTATGCAAAATCATATCATAAGTACAGGATTATCCCCAAAAGATAAAAAAGGAAAACATAAAAATCGCCCACATGCTGTACCTGATCAAAAAATAAAGGTCATTAATTATCATATACAATCCTTCGAAGGCTCCTTTAAAGCCATTATTATTTCAGAAAAAAAATGTAGGATACCTTCCAAATACATAAAACATAAAACAAATGCACTAACTCTCCATAAATTTTACAAAATCCAACTGAAATATGATACATATTACAGAATGTTTACAGCCAAATAAAATCTACCCTTTGGATCTCCTCACAGTGATACTGTGATTATGTTAAAACAAAATTTCAAGTTTTTGATTTTCCTGAAGATAACAAATGAAAACTGGAGAAAGCTTTATTTGGCAAGAGCTCAAGTGTTTACAAATAAAAAGTGACATTTCAAACTAATAACAATCTCTTCTACTGATATTACTGTAATATCATTTGAATTCGTGCAAAATTCGCCTTTGCCAAATACTGTGTTCTATTCTAAGCAGTTATGGTACTATATATTTAGGACATGATTTAGCTCAAAATGATGTGTTCATATATTCTTATTATGAAGGAGTGGCAAAACGAGGGCTAAATAATGTAACATCATTTGTGTAACAATGTTGCTCCACTGGTTAAATAAACATTTGCCACAGGGTATAAAACCCCTGTACAGTGTTTCAAAGGAAGACGTGCGATCGCACGCCATTATATGACCAGGCAAATTACATTTTTCTTTGACAATTTTTCTTTGACCGCAGCTATTTTCAAAAACATTTTAAAATGCGCTGGACTGAATTATACCTTAGGTGAAATAAATTAAATCATAACTTCTTAACGAATGTTTTTATATTAGTGAAATGCTGTTAAATAAGGTTCTAGGAAAAAATCCCCCGGAGAAAAATCCCCTTGAAATAATTCATGAGAAAAAATCCCCTCGAGAAAAAATCTCCCGTATAAAATCCCTCCGACAAAAAAATCCCTTCTGTAAAAATCCCCTTGGAAAATATCCCCCTCCCCTAAAAAATTTTTTTTTTACTTAAAAATTATCAATATGTAGTTATGTTTATTTCTTATTTATGTTAAATATTTAAAATATTAAAAATTCATTTTTCATTAAATTGTCAAGTTATGCGCTATTCCTCGAAGGTAGCGAATGTGAACTTTTATGCGAACCATCGTAGTTAATTTAACGATATATTTTAAGGACTTAAAAGTGAAAAAATTATTTTAAAAAATAAATAAAAGGAAATTAAGTGAAACTAGACAAATACAATATGAAAATATATATACTTTTTAATTATTTGATAGACTGCATGCCCAAACCAAACCCTCAGTCAATGTAGCAGAACTCCATTGTGAGTCAGGCTATTTGTCAGTCGACTACACTATAAGGATATATATATATATATATATATATATATATATATATATATATATATATATATATATATATATACACACATATATATATATATATATATATATATATATATATATATATATATATATATATATATATATATATATATATATATATACATATATATATATATATATATATATATATATATATATATATATATATATATATATATATATATATATATATATATATATATATATATATATATATATAATTATTGCTATCTATCACTTTTACTGTATATAATTATTACTATATATCATTATTATTATTTAGTATTATTTTAATACACTTATATAAATTTTTTTAATTTGATTATCATTTTGTTTTGTTTTCTTTACAATTTGTTGAGCATTAGTCTACTTAGTATTGCCTTAAACTTATTATAAGTTTTTAAGTTTTGAGAAGTCTTAAAACTTAAAACGATTTTATCATTGAAAAGAATCCTTGGCACATTTATTTTTGAAAAGACTTGAAAACAATGTGATTTGTAATACAACACTTGTAATGTAATACAATGGTAGTAATGTAATACAATGATAGTAAAACCCTTTAGGTAAAGATCTAGAGCTAACTATATTTAATTTATATTATATTTCGTGTTTATTATAAACAAGATCATATTAAACCATAGTCAATGAATTTAACCACTGTTTGCAAGTATAGCAATTTGAAATAAAAATTAAGGTAAAAAATTCATAAATTTGTCATCTGGTCACATTTTTTTTTAAACCCAAAAAATAAACTTATGTGTATAAAGTTGCGTTAATAATATTTCAAAAAAGCAATTGGTGTTTTAAAATATTTAATGCAAATGCAGTTTTGTTTTCACCCAATTTTAAGATTTTTTGTTGATTTGTTATATGAAAACCCATCTTGTCCCATTCGCAAGATGAATTCACATTTTAATATACTTCAACTGATGGTGGCTATGATATAGTCAAAAAATGTATAAAAAAAGTTAAAAAAAATGTCTTATTTATTAGAATATATATATATATATACATATATATATATATATATATATATATATATATATATATATATATATATATATATATATATATATATATATATATATATATATATATATATATATATATATATATTAGGGTGGTTCTAAAGAGAATATTTTTTAAAAATGTCTGATGGGACCCCCTAGATGTGTTCTATGTAATAAATTAATATTACATTTAAAAAATTTTTGAATAAAAAAATTTTTTAGGAGTTGCACAAGACCCTTAAACATCAGACAGGTCCCTAATATTTTGAAAAAAAAAGTTCTTCAAAAGCGTATCATGTTGGGTCTCAAAAGAAGTGAAATTTTATGAAAAAAAAAAAAGAAAGCTACACCATTATCTTTTTATAATGATGTTACAACCCTCTCTCAACTGAATAAATTTAAAACATGAGCCATAACAAGCTAATTGAGTGCGTTACTACCAGAGGGATGGTACTAATTAAGTTCACAACATAACTTATTAAGTCTTGTTTTTTAATAAAAAAAGGCTGTTTATCCTTTCCAGTTGTATATATTTAAAAAAAATATTGTTTTTTGGTTTTCTATAAATTGTTAATATAAACCAGTACAAGACATACCTTTTAAATTTTTTTTCTTTTTGTTGTCAACTGTTTCTTCTTCCTCGTTATCATCATTTAAATGTTTTTTTGTATCACTTTTGTCTTCAAACATGTTATCTTTAAATAAGTTAAAAGTGATTATCACTTTAACTAATAATTTAATATCACTTTATATATATATATATATATATATATATATATATATATATATATATATATATATATATATATATATATATATATATATATATATATATATATATATATATATATATATATATATATATATATATATATATATATATATATATAAAGTGATATTAAATTTCACAACATAACTTATTAAGTCTTGTTTTTTAATAAAAAAAGGCTGTTTATCCTTTCCAGTTGTATATATTTAAAAAAAATATTGTTTTTTGGTTTTCTATAAATTGTTAATATAAACCAGTACAAGACATACCTTTTAAATTTTTTTTCTTTTTGTTGTCAACTGTTTCTTCTTCCTCGTTATCATCATTTAAATGTTTTTTTGTATCACTTTTGTCTTCAAACATGTTATCTTTAAATAAGTTAAAAGTGATTATCACTTTAACTAATAATTTAATATCACTTTATATATATATATATATATATATATATATATATATATATATATATATATATATATATATATATATATATATATATATATATATATATATATATATATATATATATATATATATATATATATATATATATATATATATATATATATAAAGTGATATTAAATTTCACAACATAACTTATTAAGTCTTGTTTTTTAATAAAAAAAGGCTGTTTATCCTTTCCAGTTGTATATATTTAAAAAAAATATTGTTTTTTGGTTTTCTATAAATTGTTAATATAAACCAGTACAAGACATACCTTTTAAATTTTTTTTCTTTTTGTTGTCAACTGTTTCTTCTTCCTCGTTATCATCATTTAAATGTTTTTTTGTATCACTTTTGTCTTCAAACATGTTATCTTTAAATAAGTTAAAAGTGATTATCACTTTAACTAATAATTTAATATCACTTTATATATATATATATATATATATATATATATATATATATATATATATATATATATATATATATATATATATATATATATAAATATATATATATATATATATATATATATATATATATATATATATATATATATATATATATATATATATATATATATATATATATATATATATATATATATATATATATAACAAAATGCCTATAACAAAATTTCCAAAAAAATGAATACTATGTTTACAAGAAAAATTTGAAATTATTACTCATTTGGATCAAGAAAATTTATTAAACAACTTTTAACAAATTAATCCATACAGAATAAATAACCTTGTAGAATTCCACTTTCCTCAGTGCTTTCTTAAGAACTGTTCAGGCTTAAATTGTCGTCATAAAAAACTGAAAATAGATCCATACTAATATTTACTTTAACCTCGTGTCAATTTTTGTTTACTTTTATGTATAAACTCAACGGCTTCCGAAAAAACCTACCTACTTCTGAGCAATGGGAAAAACTCCACGGCAAACGAAATTATTCACCTCCTTTTGAGCCATGGGATCGTCTGCTATCACTGATCTCAAAATAATAACTGGATAGCGTATTCTATTGTTTTTCGTAAAAAAAGTTGAAGCCAATTTTGGCCTACCAAGATGGCGTCGGTTAGAACTGTTAGCGGTTTGAATCGTATAAAAATTCTGACCGAATAAGAAAAGTAAACTATTTTTAAGGAAAATAAGATGGCGAAATAAATTTATTTGATTATTAAAATATTCAGCTAGTATACACTTTTTAAATGAGGTTTATAATTTATGTACCTTTTAGTTCTTAATTACCCAATGCTGTGTGCTAGAAGGTTAATAACACAACTGTATGGTAAGCAGCAACGATGTCTACCTACAATCTTTAAAGAATTTTAAAATCATGAGTTTTGTAGGTAGAAACATTATTGTACCAATGCTGTATGAACTATTAGCTGAGAACTGTGAGTACACACAACTCAGAGGTTCCTTCTAGGATTATAAAAGTCATTTTATTATGTAATGCATTAACTTTCTGGACTCAATATTCAGTGAAAATATAAAACAATATTTATATTCCAAAGTAAAAAATTATCTTTTAAAATCATGAGTTTTGTAGGTAGAAACATTATTGTACCAATGCTGTATGAACTATTAGCTGAGAACTGTGAGTACACACAACTCAGAGGTTCCTTCTAGGATTATAAAAGTCATTTTATTATGTAATGCATTAACTTTCTGGACTCAATATTCAGTGAAAATATAAAACAATATTTATATTCCAAAGTAAAAAATTATCTTTTAAAATCATGAGTTTTGTAGGTAGAAACATTATTGTACAAATGCTGTATGAACTATTAGCTGAGAACTGTGAGTACACACAACTCAGAGGTTCCTTCTAGGATTATAAAAGTCATTTTATTATTTAATGCATTAACTTTCTGGACTCAATATTCAGTGAAAATATAAAACAATATTTATATTCTAAAGTAAAAAATTCTCTCAATGACTTAGATTTAAAGTCTAACTCTTGTCAAACTCAACTGTGAATAATTATTCCTCAAAGTTTGAAGGATAATTATTGACAGTTTAACACATACATAGTATGTAAAGATGTAACATATGTATGTTACATTTTATTGAGAATAAATTCTCTAGAGGAGGTTAAGTTAAACCAAGCAAAAGTGTTGTTTTGGTATGCGAAGGAACAGAAAGATGTTTCCAAAGGTTTCTTACATCAACAAAGATTACCCTCCCTAATGATATAGGAATTAAAAATGCAAATGCAAATGTCGTTTTGAGATCAGTTGATATATCAAAAGTATTAACAGAGCTAACTCATCATATGCTAGATTCGTCTTTAACTGATAAGCATTTATTCTCACTGATTAAAGTTATTTCAAAAAATTACTGAAAAATACACTTTCATCACCAATGCAAAGAAGTAACTAACAAATTGACTGGAAAAAAGTTTAGGAAGCAGTTGATTAAATTTGTCTTATTCAAAAATCAATGAAAACATTTGTTTTTAGTATACCATTTTAGTGCACAGATATGGTAAGTACAAATTTTGGTCAAATTGAGATAAGTACGCAGAAAAACCTGTTTTTATTTATAGTTTATTGTGAATAAATATGGTATGTGTAGGATAAACGATAAAGAGTCTAATAATTGACAATATGTGGTAAATACAAAAACTCTTATTATTATAATTACGCACACAAATGACAGTTTCTACAGTTTTAATCTAGCACTTACCACATCTGTGCACTGTGTCATCGATATATACACAGTAAACTCCTGATAACTCAAACCTTTAAAAAATTGAACTTCCAGTATTTCCTCGGACACTTAAAGGTTACGACTTATCAGGAGTTATATATGCATATATATAATATACATACAAACATTTATATATATATATATATATATATATATATATATATATATATATATATATATATATATATATATATATAGTAGAAAATAAAACGAATTTCATGCAAATTTTACAACATTACAACATTAAGTTTCATGCTGATGCAATCATCAGGTGAAATAAAAATGAAAAGTATTTCACCTGATGATTGCAACACATAGTTTTATTATTTTCTATATTATAGCTCTGTTCATTAAACACCTTGATGGTATATCCAAAAAACATATATATATATATATATATATATATATATATATATATATATATATATATATATATATATATATATATATATATATATATATATATATATATATATATATATATATATATATATATATATATATATATATATATATATATATATATATATATATATATATATATATATATACTCACTTAAATGTACTAGGTGAGTATATTTATGTGTGTGTATATAGTTAGTATATTTATTTGTATTAAAAGAAAAATCTATTAAAATTAAACTAAAATAATTAATGATAACAAACTCTAGAAGGAACCTCTGAGTTGTGTGTACTCACAGAGCTCAGCTAATAGTTCATGCAGCATATATACATTACAAGTATCTGTTTAAAACAAATTTTTTTAAGACTGATTCATATTAAACAGATACTAAGCTGCCTATCATGCAGTTGTGTTATTAACCTTCTAGCACACAGCATAAGATAATTAAGAACTAAAAGGTACATAAATTTGTTATTAAATTTTTTTGAAGGATTTTATTTATCTTATAATAAAATAAATTTATACATATTTATAAAATAAATTTATACATATTTATATTGCATAATATAAATATTATTTTTCCTAATATATATATATTATATATATATTAGGATAAATAATATTTATATTAAGCAATGTATATATATTTTTGATGAATATGTATAAATATTATATATATATATATATATATATATATATATATATATATATATATATATATATATATATATATATATATATATATACTTACTTTTATTTTTAAAAATTGTTTTTTTTTAAAAAAAAAAAACCTTATTTGTGTTTAAAATTTTATCTTTAACGATTACGCTTAAGGTTTTTTGATTTTTTAAACGGTACTTCTATAACCGTTGGCAAACTACGCCGCCATCTTGGTAGGCCAAAACTGGCTTCAAAAATTTTTCCGAATGCGCTATCCAGTTATTATTTTGAGATCAGTGGTCTGCTATCCTTATTTCTACGAAATCCTGTAAACATTTTACGTTTACCGAGAAATGCTCTCAAATTACGTCACGCAATATATATCGTATTTATTAATATTAAGGAATTGTCCATAAATTACGTAACGCAAACTTTCACAATAAACAAACAAAAAAGATCAAAAGTTTTCCCTCGTTGAGTCGTAATTAAAATAAAAAATTAAATTAGCCTATTGAAAATCGCCGCGTAACTTTTATTTTTAAATTACCTCAATTTTTATTGGAATTGATAATATATATATATATTTTTTTTTTTTATTTAGGTGCCCTAAGAAGTACCTACGGTCTTATCACAGTGCACCGCAGATGAGCATTTAATTATAAGTTTACGCCTTCGTTCTAACCGATGTTCCCAGAGGTGGGGTTTGAACCGCGGATCCTTTGTTTCTGAGGCAAGTACACAACCACTGCCCCGCGGCTGCAATATAAAACGACTTGAATTTTGCACAACGACACTAATTTATTGCTTAAGAAGTTATTTAAATAAAATATTTATCAAAAATTAAACATAATTTCTGAGGTTATTTGTCCATTTAGTAACTGTAAGTTTATACATTTTTATATCGACCGATAGAAACGTTTAAAAATTTATATATATTGCTTATATATATTATGCGGCCGTGGTGCTATGGTTTCTGCGCTTGCTTTATAAGCAGGAGATATAATAAGCCTAGTACAACAATAGTTGCAATCATAATTTCTTTGCAAACTTACTTTACATCATCACCTTAATTAATCTTATCATCTTAAGCAACTTCATCAAGTACTATCATAATTTAAATAACATGGCAACAGCTTATGTATTATTTCAAGTAACCCATGAAATTTGTAGTAGATAAGCATAAAATATTGAGAATGTAATAAATTTTTGATGATCTTGCTTCGTTCTGACGTAATTACAAAATATTGAATAATAAAAAGTTATAACGGGGATGGTAAGTTTTTTAACAGTAAAATAATCAAAGAATATTTACTAAATAACCAAGAAATTAAAATAAATAACACCGTCGAACTTGTATGAATATCTTTAACCAAAAAAGTTCGTGAAAATATCACTATTCTACCCGTAAAAGAGGTTATACCATCTTAGAAACCTGCTCATCTAACACAACCTTCCCCTATTTGGTTTTTTAAAAAACTATATTTAAAATTACAATAAAAATACAATTTATCATAAAACTTTCATATTTTGAGGCGCGGCTGGCAAGGTTCAGGGTTTGCCGCACGTAAGGAGAATAGTTTTTTGAATTTTGATGTCTTATTTTGAAAGTTGTTTATATATTTTAACTATTACTGTTGTTTAATTTTTATATTTCTTTACTATTATTATTATTTTTTTAATTTTCACAGAATAAATAATAATAATCAATGCGTACATAAATTGAATGATATGATTTATGCCCAGCTACCAGAGCTGGGCATCGCTACAAAATATTTGAAAGCGCGACCGCTACTTTCTGCATCTTTGCAAAATAGAAACTGCTACCGCTCTTCCGCTACTTTATTAAACTTATAGTCCGCTACCAAAAAAAAAAAAAAAGAAGGAAAAAAAAGTTACAAATTTTGAATATATTTTTGGTTTGGGGGTTTAAAGTTGATATAGCCATAATTTTTGAACGCTAAGAAATTATTGCATGAAATTTAGAAATTACTGATGAATATAAATTTATTCGAAATCAGTA